ATAAAGGCTTTGTATCCATGAAACACAATAAACTGCTTTACCTGCAGACATATTTCATACAGAGAGCAGGAAAGGTAAAAGTGTAGAAGAAGAAAGGTGGTCATGCAGACTCTTTATGTGAGTGACATTAAAGATGCTTCAGTCCTCCGTGTCAGCTGCACTCAAACACAGTGAACACTCATCTCCTCCTCATCTCCTCCTCATCCCCTCCTCATCCCCTCCTCATCTCCTCCTCATCCCCTCCTCATCTCCTCCTGATCTCCTCCTCATCTCCTCCTCATCTCCTCCTCATCCCCTCCTCATCTCCTCCTCATCCCTCCTCTCCCTCCTCATCTCCTCCTCATCCCCTCCTCATCCCCTCCTCATCTCCTCCTCATCCCCTCCTCATCTCCTCCTCATCCCTCCTCATCTCCTCCTGATCTCCTCCTCATCTCCTCCTCATCTCCTCCTGATCTCCTCCTCATCTCCTCCTCATCCCCTCCTCATCTCCTCCTCATCCCCTCCTCATCCCCTCCTCATCTCCTCCTCATCTCCTCCTGATCTCCTCCTGATCTCCTCCTCATCTCCTCCAAACAGAAGCAGCAGCAGCGCTTCAGCATCAACATGAGAGAGAAACAAACTTTTAGTGGACTCACCGAGCTCAGTGAGAGAGTCTGATCCGGATCCTCTGGACTCTCGGTTTATTCCTCCTCAGCTGGAAAGGAAATAAAAAAATCAGGACAGGTCCCGGTCCGGGTCCCGTCAGGTCAGCGTGTGTGTGTCTGATCACCTGTGAGGCTCCTCACTCTATAAACAAACTGAACACATGTGGGCTGAGTAGGGCTGAGCCGCCGTGATGCGTTCAAGTGCTGCTCGGAAACTCACAGTTCTTCTAGTCAGACCACAACGTCCAATCCCAGTCTTTCAGTTGAGTTTTTTCCTCATTAATCAATTGTGAAATAATCAGAATCAGAATCAGAATCAGAATCAGGTTTTATTGCCAAGTACATTTACACATAAAGGAATTTGACTTGGTGTATTGGTGCTAAACAATTAACAAGGAAATAAAGCAGAACTAGAAACAACTTAAATAATACAGAATAAGAAGATATTACAATATATAAAACATAATTTAAAAATGTAAAATATAAAAAACACAAAAAGTACAAAAGGTGTGATGTAGGAGCTGAGCAGTGGACTATGAGGAAAACAAACCTTAGTGGTATAAGAATAGTGAACTATGACTTTTGCAGTTTGGATATCCCACTAAACAGTTTATTTAACAGTTTAAAGAATGTTTCAGAAAATAAGACAAAATGATGAGAATGAGAACATTTTTATTTTATTTGAACATAAACACATTTTAGTGGTAAGACAGAAGATTAAAGTGACCATACTAGCTCAAAAAGAGTTCCTATACTCCAGCTGTGGACTGGTCTGGACATCGGTCTGCTATCTGGAGAGATTCCAGAGCATTGCTGAGATGTCCTCCAGCAAGGCACTGACTGAACCCCCAACAGCTCAGGCACTCCTTCACATGCAGCCCCCTCCACTCTGACATCTTTCCATCAGAGTGTGTGTGTGTGTGTGTGTGTGTGTGTGTGTGTGTGTGTGTGTGTGTGTGTGTGTGTGTGTGTGTGTGTGTGATTAATAAAGGATACCTTCTACAAACATGAGTTTCCATTTTCACCCACAAAATATAATACCAGCAAACGCCCCATAAGGCAAACCAATGTTTATGTTTAACAGCCCACAGCTCCCCCTGGTGGCGACAAGAGGTACACACAGAAAATAAAATAAAAAAAGATCTTCCAAATCTCTGAAGGAGTGTGATGTCTTGGAATATCATGAATAAAAGGACTTCATCTTCAGTTGAGCTTTACTTTACTGCAGGTAAAACTTCTGCTCTCATCGGAGTAACAACCTCACCTGAGGAGCACTCAGGCAAACATGCAGCACACTAGCGCCCTCTGTTGGCCCTGGATTGTAATAACATCCAACAGTCACTTCATAAAAGAGTGGCTCTCAAACTTTTCACATAAGTACCCCCACATGAAATATTTTGTCTCTCCAGGTTCCCCCATTATGACCAGCGTTGAAATACTGTCAGACTATTTAACAACAGTTTACACAGGAGGTCATTTTATACCTCATATGCACATTATTTATTATTGACCACACGCTGCGGCCAAAGTGGTTAAAGCCTCAAATCAACAGATATCAAACGTACAAAATCTGGATGGATCGTATATTCATAATTAACTGTGGTGTACCCCATAAGCACCCCAAGGTGCTCCCGCTGATTCGTCGGCGGCGTGTGAATGAAAAACATCCCAGACACATTTATAATAAATTCAACTTTATTTCCACTTTGCTAACGTGCTAACGTGCTAACGTGCTCTGCTGGGTGACGAAAGAGAAATAATTCAAATGAATTTTCCTGAAGGACCCTCTTGGCACCTTGTCGGCCGCCCTCGTTTCTTTTCCACAGAGGGGGGGCTCAGGTCTGTCTACCCTAATCCAAGATGGCTGCTACGTGCATCGACAGTGACCTTTAAGCTGTAACTGTTGTGTTATTACTTTGTGTGTAATTAAATCATCACACCGATGGTATCGTGCACGTTCTACGTGTGGACGTGTTGTCATGTTTTTTGTCGCACGCAAACTTATCACAGTGTGACGTCATCGTCTGGTATAAACTCGTGTAACGGCGCTTCTTGGATGATGTTGATTATCCTCGGTTGTCTTGCCGTTAACTATAACACTAAACATACTTAATTGAATATATATATTCGGGTGTGGGTAAGTGAAAGCACGGGGACAACTTCTGCTGTGCGTCTCATACTTTTTAATGTCCGTCCGTAACAAAGCATAACATATCAAGACTGCCCATTGTGCCCAACAACAGCAACACCTCACTTGTCTTAAAGCAATATCCCTCCTCCAACCGTAACCATGGGTAACCTTAAAGGCAAAGTGCATCGTATCAAACAGATACTCTTGTACAGTACAAATTGTACATATAAATGAAATAACCATTAAATCAAATAATGCATATTATCTCAACCTGAGAAAAATAAAGATCTATAAAATAAAACTTCACATGAATGAATCTCATCTCCATCTTACACTAACAAAACAAAGGTTCTCCTGGAGGCGTTCATGGAGCTTGTCCGACTTCTTACCAACTCTTAACTGGAACGCAGTTAACTCTGGTGTGACGTCATTCACAGCATTACATTTGCACTTTGAATAATCAAGCACAAATCTGTACAAGCCTCGTAACTTCAGTAAATAGAGGTTCACAAAAAAAAAAAAAAATGAGAAACATGCCTCCAGCTCCAGATACATGATCAACTTCTTATGAGTCCTCCTGACATTTAAAAATGTAACAGATCAGTGGAGTCTCAGTCTGTGGATAGTAAGTCCATGTTGAGCTCATTGAACATTTTCAGGAACTCTGAACGAATCAAACTGAATGTTTTAATGTTTCTGTCTGTCTCCCTCTACCTGCTGCACACCTGAGTACAATCTATGTTCAGGAAAGAGGAGTTGTATTTAGAGGTAGGTAGGTCCTTCTATGTTTTCAGTCTCCATGTTCCATATAGCTTTTGTTAGGCATGAAGCTGTCTTCAGATGCTACATGTACGTATTGTTTCATTTATCTTTAAAAAAAAGGGAAATAAAACAGGAAGGTGCAGACATTAAATAAAATCAGAGCAATAGCACAGAAAGGCACGTATACAAGGTGTGTGGGAACAAAGATGAACATTCATGAGGTCAATCCCTGTGTTCATCAACCCTTTTAAAAAAGGTTTTAGTCAAACCCTTCATCAGTCAGATTCCTTTCCGGGATGTCCTACATATGGTCTGTCTCTGTAGGAGAGAACACAAACAGAAGATTACAGAAGATTCCATACATAGAATACATTCTCATTTATTTCTATCTTTTAAAATTGAGTTTGTAAAAACAGTTAGTGAGCAGTTTGAGGACCTACATGGTGCACTGATGGTTCTATTGTGAGTTTGATCATAAATTTAGGACCATTTTTTCAACTCTGGATATTCCCCGTTGGAGCCACAAAGTTTTTTGTTCTTAAGAAGATTTCTAAGAAGACTCTCGGTCACATTCACCAACGTGTGCTTGACTGAATATTTGCAGCTGTGTCCTTATCTCCTTGTCCTTCGTAAGTTGAACGTGTGTTCCTGTTGTTCCCAATTAGCATAGGTAACCGCCCATCAATGCCCATAAAAGGGCATGAGTGAAGGGCCCTGCAGACACAATCCGCCCTCACACACTCACTGACTTTGATGATCGGTCCTTCTAAATCTGTGAGGGCTCGAGCTGTCCCACTGTCGGACCGTTTGTGTATAAGACACAAACAGGACAAAAAGACGAGATTAGAATCATAAAGTTCTGCAGAAAAGACACAAACGACTGAATCAAAACTGATCAGATTGCAGGAAAAGAAAAGTGAGCTGCTGAAAATGTTCTGGGGGAGCCAGAAACCAGTCCATGGTGCTGACTATAAAACAGCAAATAGAGCAATGTTTACTTTGAAACGTCATGGGTGCTCTGTTGGGATCATCACCTGTGGATCGGGCTGCATGTGATCGACAGATCATTCACTTTACAAACAGGAAGTATGTGTGTGAGTTTGTGTTGGTCGGCTGTTTAGCTCGAGTTGCATTTGTTTTCTAAACCCTGGTTACGGCCCTGATTGACTGCTGCCATTAAAGAAACACATGAACACCATGATCAACCCACCCAAAGCTGTACACCGAGGGGAAACACTGAAGGAGGGGCCTCCTCCTGTTCTGACGGCCAATAGCACGCGACTGTGCCGATGACTGACATCTCTTGTAGTCAAGAAAATTCTCTAAACAAGGATCTGCTGCTTCTGTCAAAGCTTTGGGGTGATTTATTCATGTTCACACTAAGTGGAAGGCATAGATAGACTATGAGCCAATTAGACATTAAACACCCCCATAGAGCTGGAGTGGAACGATCCTTATGCTCGCTGAGAGACTGTCGACTGAGGCGCTGACAAACCAATCATCGAGTACTCGACTACATGGGCTCAGCCCTACTTACTTTATTCCAAAATGTAGAGATACCTTCTTCTTCAGGCTTACAAACAATATGAAAGAAAGTGTTCTCACCCTCCAAGTGATGAGATGTAACGTCTCCCTTGTTCCTCATGTCATCATGTCTGAGCCTCTTCATGAGAAAGCCTAACAGGAGAGAGAATACATCAGAAACATGACCCAACTCAAGATGGGAGTGAATATGAGTAGTTCATAGAAGAAGAAACATGTTTCCTGATTTTAAAGGACTGAGAAAAAAGGGAAACTGTCCTGAAAGGTCAGGGTTTTTTTCCCAACAATGTTTTATTTATTTTACCTTTCAGCATACATACAGAGTACACAACATTATTTATCAAATAAGTTAAGTCATAACGTAACCAAAGGAAAGAGATAAAAACAAATATCAACACAAACAACAAAAAAGAAAGATTAAGAACAGAAAATAAAATACATATGTGATTAATAAGTTGGGGAATATATAGGGACATTACTACAGTTCAACTTAATCTTATAATTAAAGTACAACTGTCACTTCCGGTCCCCTGCAAGATGGCAGCGTGAGAACAGAGCTGCCAACCTCACAGACTGTTAACCCAGATTTAATAAGTTTCTCTAAGTGGCTTCTGTAGAACATCCACAGAAACGAAGGTGCGAGCAAACCTATAACAAATCTAGAGGCCTGCGCCACCACAGCTAACGACTCAACAGGTGCTGCAGGTAATTTGATTGGCGAGGGATTAGCAGAGATGAAAGGAATGAGAAAGGACGTGACAGAAAGGTTGGATAAAATTGAAGAATCCCTGAAAGACATGAGTGTGCAAATACAGAAATGGGAAAAAAGATTGAATGTAGCGGAGCAAAGAGTGAGCGATGTGGAAGATCAGGGAACACGGGCTGACCGGCTGTTAATCTACATGATGCACAATCAACGCCGCATTGGAAGCACACTGTGAAGACAAGAAGGTACAATTTACAGATTTATGGAGTGAAGGAAGGAGCAGAGGGCAAGGAGAACATGCTCGAATTCACGACAAAACTATTAAAACTTCCCGATGATGAAATCCTCGGCATTGAGCGTGCACACAGATCAACGGCATTAAAAAAAGGAAATCCGAACTTCTCCAGATCTATCGTGGTTAAATTTATCGATTTTCAAACAAAACAACATATCGCCTGGAGTACCAAAGATGTAAAGTTTGAGGGGAATCGCATCGCACTAAGAGTCACCTTGGAAGATTGAGAGAAGACATTCCACTCGGCATGGGAGGCCGCAGAACACCTGAAGCATTTAGGCATCTCTGTGAAACTATCTGAAGCAGAGCTTATAGAAAAGGAGCTTCACCAACTGGGATGGATCAACAGGTTTCACCCCGGCGGGGAGCCGCTCACACACACACTGCTGAGAGATATCGAGGTGCTCTCCATCTGATCATTTGCAACAAAGGCATGAATGTGAAGGTCGTCTGACATTAAGTAAGTTTATTATTGTAATTTAAGTTTGGACATGGTGTGTGAAGAAAAGGAAACAATTACTCCTCATAGACTTTAAAGGTTTTATATGTGATGTTTCACACTTAATATAAATCAAGTCTATCCTCTGAAAATAACTCTGTGAATCATGACTGTCTACAATGGGTGTAACACCCGAGTCCCACTGTCTGTGATGTTTTCAGAGTTTTCAGAGTCCTATCTTCACTTTGTTTACATCGCCTGGACGGCCGGCTGACTCCTCCCCTAATGTATAAAAGTTGTTTAATTGAGGGACTAGAGAAAAGAAGAATAACATACTGTACTCACTGCTTAACTGTGTTTCTAGATCACGCTCATTTCAGGTAAATCTACATGCAGTGTGAAGATACCAGCAGAATAAAGATCACTAGCATTAGCATGCTAACACAACAATGCAGCGCCAGTTGTTTTGGTTTCATGCTGGTGCTCAAGGGCGACATCTGCTGGATCAAAAAATCACATATAAAGCCTTTAAGAGACTTTACTTTGCTGACAAGAACTTCAATAATGAACTTAGATCCTGCACGGTGGACACTTCACAGACTGCTTGAAAACGTGCAGAAGCAGATTGTTCAGTCAGTTTTGTTTTTATTTTCCTGTAAATTACAGAAAAGTGAATATTTTGAGTTAGCTATGCCTGTTAAAGAGTTAGTAATACAACTAAAGGGTGAGAGCAGAGGAGAGGAAGTATCCAAGATTGACAAATAAACTAGGTAGTCCAGTGTATTTCTAAAATTAAAATTAAATGTTTTTCTCGATATACTTTAAAATGTAAAAGGGCACAGTAAGAGCTGGACTTCTTCATGAAGACATTGGGTGAATATTCTTTTCATGATTTAACAGTATAATATTCAAAATGCTTTATATTCATAATATTATATAAAGCCAGGCCCTAATGTAAAATAAAGGCTAGACCCTTTCTGTAATCATTACTAGTTGCCCTTCTTTCTTTTTTATTTTGTCCATTACCTTAAACATTCTTGCCTTTACAGAATATAATTATAATTAGAGTAATGAAACATTGGGCAGTCGGGGAGGGTTCTTTGGGGGAAACTAACGCAAGGAAATCATTATAACAACTGAGGACATTTGCGTTACTGTCTTAATATCAGCAATACACTGATCAGTCCAATTCAATTGTGACTCTTCATCTAAGGACCAAGAGGGTAGATATGTTTTGATAAATGGAACTGTAAATGGAGTTTGGGTGTCAATGTTAAATGTGTATAACTAATGAAAATAGCCCAAAGTTTATTAAAACTATATTTGATCTAGTGGTAGAGAAATCGCAAGGGATCTTACTGATTGGAGGAGATTTCAATAGCATATAAGACCCATTTCTAGATAAAAGTTCTACTTCAAATCAAAGTCAGACGACAATGAGTAGGGCTCTTAAAAATAGTTGTGAGGATCTTGGCTTTATGGATATTTGGAGAAATCTACATCCAAGGAATAGTGATTATACATTTTATTCCCACCCTCACTCCACATACTCTAGGTTTTTATTTTATAGAGCATTAGAATGCAAAATTCATAATATAAACCTGTTGGACCATGCACCAGTGTCTATGGTTTAGGATGTGGGACGAGCAGTCGTCTCTAGTACATGAAGGCTGAACACCTCCCTATTGGGAATATCGTCGTTTCAGGCTGCTTTAAGAGATGAATTTGGTTTTTATCTAGAACATAACAACAAAGAGGATATATCCCCAATTTTACTTTGGGAAGGAGCAAAAGTGGTGTTGAGGGGCAAAATAATTCAACTTGCTTCAATTTTAAAAAAGACAAGGAAAGCAAAACGAATAGAACTGGAAGAAAAGCTTAAGCTAGAAAAACAACATTAAGAAAACATGTCCAAGGAAAATTTACACAAGCTCAAAGAGGCTAAAGTGGACCTTGAAAAGAAGTTTAAGATTTTCTAAACAAAAATATTATGAAAACGGAAACAGAGCTAGCCACCTCCTGGCATTTCAGGTTAGAAAACAATGTAACCTCACAACAGTTCAAAAAATTCAAAGTAATAGCCCTGAGAGACACTTTCTGTACAAACCGAATGAAATTTCAGAGGCTTTTGCTGAATTTTATAGAGATTTGTATTCTGACCAAAATAATGAAAGTAATTTAGAAAATATTAATTCCTATCTAAAAGACATAAAACTTCCTAAAATAGATTCTGTCTCATCTGAGTTTATAGACAGGCCCATAAGAGAAGATGAAATCAAAGATGCAATTAGAAATCTAAAAAATAACAAAAGTCCGGGTAATGATGGATTCACAAATTAATTTTAGTCTCTTACAGATGACTGAGGACTTTTCTAAGAGAAGGTCATAGATCTTGGAGATGATTCCTCTCCCCCAACAGTCCTTCCTTTATCTTTCCTATTGTTGACATGCGAGGGATAGACAATGACTGATTTTCCTCTGTTTTTATGAAGTTCCTCAATTGTAAGTATTTAAAGAATAAAGAAGGGTTATGCCATATTTTGTCCTTTGTCAGCCCAAATTTTAAAACCTCCATCAGACCTTCCTGGGGGAAATAAATCATCTCCTCATATTGGGCTAAAGCAGGCCTGGCCAACCCGCGGCTCCCGAGCCGCATGTGGCTCTTTGTCCGGTCTCATGTGGCTCTTTGTCCGGTCTCATGCGGCTCCTCAGTTCATTTTGTGTGTTCTTTTTTTTTTTAGCAATGTTAGGCCCATCCATTGTATTTGTGTTAAAAATTGCCCGTGCCCGTCAGTATGAGAGCATGACAGCATGTCTAAGTTTGATGTAGCCTGAGAGCCAATCACAAAAATGCCTGTGAACCAATCAGCTTTGAGGGAGGGAGGGCCTAATTGTTGAGTGTGAAACAAGCCAAGTTCGCTCTGAAAATGGCACAGCACAGCAAAACGAAAATATGAAGATGAACACAGGACGTTTTAACAGAGTGGGAGAGTTTATATTTCTTCGTTCAACGTAATGGCAAGCCACTCTGCCTTATATGCCACATTAGCGCATTTCAAGGCTTCAAATCTTCAGCGTCACTTCAGCTCACTCCATGCTAACGTCGACCAGGAATTTCCAAAAGGTACTGAGCTTCACCAGCACAAGTTAAACATTTTGAAAAATCAGGCAGAGAAGCAGACACAGTTGCTGCCTGACCTGGTGCAAAGTGTGTTTGCGTTTGTCAACAAACTGAAGCTGTTCGAGACACATATTCAAAGGGGTTAGTGTATTTTCCCGCATTGCTAAAAGCAAGCAGGCAAGCCACCAGCGCCGCCCTGAAAAAGCAAACAGCCAGATATGCAACACTGGTTGAAGACCTTCACGACAGCTTTGTGACCCGGTTCCGTGATCTACAGCTGAAAAGGCCACAGATTACGTTCCTCGTCGACCCGTTTAATGCAGAGACGGACTGTTTGAAAGAACCGCTAGTCACAGACGAGGCAGCGGCCGAGTTGGAGATGATCGATCTTTGTGAGGAGGACCATCTGAAACCTGTTCTAAGGGAAGGGACCATTGAGTTCTGGAGTTTCTGTCTGTGTGAGGGTGTGTGTGTCTGTCTGTGTGAGGGTGTGTGTGTCTGTCTGTGTGAGGGTGTGTGTGTCTGTCTGTGTGAGGGTGTGTGTGTGTTTCTGCATGAGGATGTGTGTGTCTGTCTGTGTGAGGGTGTGTGTGTGTTTCTGCATGAGGATGTGTGTGTCTGTCTGTGTGAGGGTGTGTGTGTGTTTCTGCATGAGGATGTGTGTGTCTGTCTGTGTGAGGGTGTGTGTTTCTGTCTGTGTGAGTGTGTGTGTTTCTGTCTGTGTGAGGGTGGGTGTTTCTGTCTGTGTGAGGGTGGGTGTGTGTTTGTGTGTCTCTGTGTGAGGGTGTGTGTGTGTTTCTGTCTGTGTGAGGGTGTGTGTGTGTGTGTCTGTCTGTGTGAGGGTGTGTGTGTCTGTCTGTGTGAGTGTGTGTGTGTGTGTGTCTGTCTGTGTGAGGGTGTGTGTGTGTGTCTGTCTGTGTGAGGGTGTGTGTGTGTGTGTGTGTGTGTCTGTCTGTGTGAGGGTATGTGTGTGTGTGTGTCTGTGTGTGTGTGTGTGTCTGTGTGTGTGTGTTTCTGTCTGTGTGAGTGTGTGTGTGTGTGTGTTTCTGTCTGTGTGAGTGTGTGTGTGTGTGTGTTTCTGTCTGTGTGTGTGTGTGTTTCTGTCTGTGTGTGTTTCTGTCTGTGTGTGTTTCTGTCTGTGTGTGTCTGTGTGTGTGTGTGTGTCTGTGTGTGTGTGTGTCTCTCTTTCTGTGTGAGGGTGTGTGTGTGTGTTTCTGTCTGTGTGTGTTTCTGTCTGTGTGTGTTTCTGTCTGTGTGTGTTTCTGTCTGTGTGTGTCTGTGTGTGTGTGTGTGTCTGTCTGTGTGTGTTTCTGTCTGTGTGAGGGTGTGTGTGTGTGTGTCTGTGTGAGGGTGTGTGTGTGTTTCTGTCTGTGTGAGGGTGTGTGTGTGTTTCTGTCTGTGTGTGTGTGTGTGTGTGTCTGTGTCTGTGTGTGTTTCTGTCTGTGTGTCTGTGAGTGTCAAGGCTGTTGTTATTTTTTCATTTTAAATCTGTGTGTTTGAGAGAGAAATAGAGAAGAACGTGGAGGAGGAGGACGAGAGTGAGGCAGAGAGCTAAAGAGAGGTGAAGGGACAGGGGGCTGTTCATGTGTGCCTGTGTGTATCATGTGGCTCTTTGCAGTAAGTTTTTTTGCATTATTGATATAGAGAGCAGTCCAGAGCTGTGCAAGTCAATGATACAAATGTTAAAGTGCAGGAGTGTAGACATGTTATCAGCTGAAACTATTAAATATAATGACAAATGAAGTGAACTTGAGTGCAGTGATAAGTTGTAAACTTTGCATGTGCAGAACAGATGACAGTGTGGAGAGAGAGATATGATCATGATGACAGTTCTCTGCTCACATGAGGTGAGCTGTTGTACAGAGTTCTGGCCTTCGAGAAGAAGGATTTCTTGTATCTGTCCTTGTGACAGCAGAGTTGAATCAGTCTGTTGGAGAAGCTGCTCCGCTGTTTGTCCAGTAGGGTGTGCAGAGGGTGATCAGGATTATCCATAATGGATAACAGTTTGTTCAGAGTCCTCCTCTCTGTCACCACTACAAAAGAGTCCAGCTTGCAGCCTATCACAGAGCAGGCCTTCTTAATGAGTTTGTCCAGTCTCTTAGTGTCACCAGCTCCAATGCTGCTCCCCCAGCAGACCACAGCAGAGAACAGCGCACTGGCAACAATCACCATCTCCCTGGTCTTATCCACATTCAGAATCAGGTGATTTCTTCCTGTCCACTCCACAAAGTTATCCACCAGCTCTCTGTACTCCCCCTCTTGCCCATCACTTAGACACCCCAACCACCGCAGAGTCATCAGAAAACTTCTGCAAGTGGCATGACCTGGAGTTGTACTGAAAGTCAGAGGTGTACAAGGTGAAAAGGAAAGGAGACAGCACAGTCCCCTGTGGAGCTCCTGTACTACTCTCCACCATTCCAGACTGAACACTGCCAAGTCTGACAAACTGTGGTCTGTCTGTCAGGTAGTCAGTAATCCAGGAGGTGATGGATGAGTCCACACCCCATCAACTGCAGCTTCTCTTCCAGCAGTTGTGGCTGGATGGTGTTGAATGCACTGGAGAAATCCAAAAAGGTGATTCTCACAGTGCAGCCGTTTCCCTCCAGATGTGAGTGAGCACGCTGCAGCAGGTAGATGACGGCATCGTCCACTCCCAGGTGTGGCTGGTAGGCAAATTGTAAACGGTCAAGGGATGGTTTCACCTGCGGCCTGAGGTGGGTCAAGACGAGCCTCTCCAACACTTTCATCACATGAGATGTGAGAGCCACTGGTCGATAGTCCTTGAGATCAGATGGTGTCATCTTCTTTGGGACCGGGACCAAGCAGGACGTTTTCCACAGCACCGGTATCCTCTCCTGGCTCAGACTGCACAGCAGATGAAGGCTGTGCACTAAACCTGTTGAAGAAGAGGTTTAGCTCATTGGCCCTCTCCAGGCTGCCAGAGTGTTGTCTTTGTCTCCCCTTGAATCCAGTGATTTCCCTCATTCCAGTCCACACATCCCTCACGTTGTTCTGATGGAGTTTGGCCTCCATCTTTCTCCTGTATGAGTCCTTACACTCCCTCAGCTTTTCCCTCAGATCGTGCTGTATCCTCCTCAGCTCCTCTCTGTTTCCAGACCTGAAGGCTTGTTTCTTTTTGTTGAGAAGGGCTTTCAGGTCACTGGTGATCCAGGGTTTGTTGTTAGGAAAACAGCGTACAGTCCGGGCCGGTAGAGCAGTGTTTTCACAGAGTTGAATGTATTCTGTGATGCAGTCAGTCATGCTGTTAATGTCCTCTCCATGTGGCTCACAGAGTACATCCCAGTCTGTGGACTCAAAGCAGTCCTGCAGTGCCTCATTGCTCTCCTGTGTCCACCTCCTAACAGTCCTTGTGGTCACAGGCTGCCTTTGGACCAGGTTGTGGTCTGATCTGCCCAGGGGGGGAGGGGCAGTGGTACTGTATGCTTCCTTAACGTTAGCATACAGAAGGTCCAGTGTTTTATTTTCTCTAGTTGGACAGTTAACATATTGTTGAACAGTGGGTAGGTAGTGGGCACCATTAAAGGCACAAAAAGCCCAAAAATGTATCTTTAAAAAAAAAAAACACACAGTAAAAACCAATAATAACTCATCAAAAAATAGGATATAACAACAGGGACGACGGGAGCTGCTGCAACAGGCGGCCACCTCACACAGCGCCGGAAGCAGGAAAGAATCCAACTGAATCCAAAAAATTCCAACTGATCGATCTTAATCTGAGTTTAGGACCCTCTTGAAAATGAGAAGATACATCTCAAGGCGCTATCCTACTTAATAAATTCAAAATGGCAGGATTCAAAAAAGAGATTTGTGTCTTCTTAATGTAAACATGTTGATAAAATCATTTTTACAACCTTTCTTTCAGTGACAAAAAGAACTGCTAGGACTAACCCAAAACAAATTGTACAGAGAACTGAAACAGAAATGTGAAGTTTGATTGAAGTCTGCTCCACTGCAGCATCATTAAGTGATATCCAATAAGGAAACATGTGTATAGATGATCTGACTGAGAGAGTGAAAAACAGACTGAAGACTGAGGAGATACTGACAAGACTCTTAAAGAGAGACACACAGGTAGACTTTATGTTCTTTAACTTACCTTTACGACAACTGATGCAACCTGTGACAAAGAGCACAGCTAGGATGATGAAAACAACAACCAAAAGAGCACTGAGCACTGCAACGGCAACAATCCATCCAACAATAGAACCTGAAACAGAAACAAAAAGTTTGTGTATCACTCAGAGTGTAGTTTCATATCACACTCAGATCAGACTGGACGTCACATTGGACACACAGAGAACAGCAGGTGTGTGTGTGTGTGTGTGTGTGTGTGTGTGTGTGTCTCTGTGTCTGTGTGTGTGTGTGTGTGTGTCTGTGTGTCTCTGTGTGTCTGTGTGTGTGTGTGTGTGTCTCTGTGTGTGTGTGTTTCTGTGTGTGTCTCTGTGTGTGTGTGTGTGTCTCTGTGTGTGTCTGTGTGTGTGTGTGACACACGGTCAACTCAGAGTTTGTTTTCATCAAAGGAGGGGAGGTAGCAGAGAGAATCACTCCCATGATTCCCCGCCTCTTTTGTTACTGTTCGAGCGCCCCCTGGTGGTGGAGTTTACACTCTGTGTTTAAGAAAGTCAAACTTCTTTCAGTCCTGAATACTTTCCTGTGATTTCATTTCCATTTTATCTTCTATTTCTACTTCAGATTGTAATTATTGTTATGCCTCTACATTAACAAAATGATTGATTACTGTAATCTTACATTTAAAGACACAGAATCAAAGAATACATTATAAACTTCTTAAACACATTTTACTGATGTTTCTATAAAGGGACCTTCTAACGCAGGTCTTCTACTTTTCTTTATTCTATTTCTTATTTCATTCAAACCAGTTCAAAGTGTTGAATGTAGAACAGAGGATAATTAGGTTTTCTCTGTGACACAGTTTCTGTTTTTAATCCAACATGTTCATCACTCTTAAAGGAAAGTTTAGTATTTTTAATATCTCATCATTTATATTTTAAAAACACATTCAGGGCTTAAAGTGAAAAACAAATCCTGATCCTGAATCTTTTCACTGCTCAGACTGACTTCTCTATAATACAGTGGTTCTCAACCCAAAGTCAACCTGTTTAGTATCTGGCACCATCAGCTGAGGGGGATGAAGGGGTCTCTTGGGGGGGGGGGGTCTCTGGGGGTCTCTGGGGGGGGTCTCCCACAGAAAATGTAAAGCATCAAACGTCTCTTTTCCTGTATTCTGATCAGTTTTGATTCACCAATTTGTTTCTTTTTTGCACAACTTTATGATCCTGATCTACAGTAACATCTGGTATATAAGACGCTGTCTGTTTTTGAAGGTCTCTCAGAGAGAAACAAAGTTTAAACTGTCTTCCTGTGTGATGATTTCTATCGTGTTCAGTGAAGTCTACAGCGTGCAGTTTGTGTGTCACTCTTTTAGTTCTGTCTGTTTTCTCTTTGTGGAGTTTGCTCTTCTACTAGCTACAGTACGGTACTCGAGTTCTCAGCCTGCAGGGAAAGTGGTGAAGCACAGACCCCGAGCTCTCTGCTCGACTCCGCTGGTCACTCTTTAACTTCAATATAGGACTCTTTCAATCAAAACACTCCACACGGTTTATTTACAGAACCATAAACCACCGTTTTCTGTAAAGTCCTGATTATGACCTCATGAGGGAGTAAAGATGTGAAAAAGTCGCTCAGACGGACTGGTCTGTGTCGCTGTCTTTCCCAACACAGCGTGCAACCAGCTTTCAATACACACTGAACGGGGATGTGTTTTTAATGACGTCAGGTCGAGCGCAGTGTGTGATGGTGGCTGCTGCACACGCTGTAATGACGTGTTTCACTATTTTATACTGCTATGTTGGTCCCACCGGTGTATAAAGATGAAACAATAGGTATTAAAAGTGCGTCTATACACCAGATGTTACGGTAATCTCTGAGTCCTTTTTGTGTCTTTTTTAAACCCCTTTAGTGTTATCAGACAGATGTTCACACAGTGATGAATAATGTTAGAAACATCTGGAGAGTCGTCGTGGTTCTGCAGGAAGTTTTCATTGACATTCAAACAAAAAGGAAGATTCTCACCTTGGGTCGACTCCTCTGGATCTGGAAACACAAAAAGGAAAAATGTTCTTTAAACAATCAAACATTCTAAATGTTCACGGGGCTGTTTGAGACTCAGATTACAGAATGTTTAAAGGTTCTAATAAAGAAAAGGAGCTAAACAATGTGAATCTTTGTAGAGCAGTCGTCAAGGCAACATCACATTTGAGTTGGAGTTTAACTTTGACTAAAAACATTTTTTCTGACTCTCATCATGAAGAAGCACGGACACAGAGAAGACGTTTGGACAACTCTTCAACGCTGTCATCACCTTTTTATTACAGTTCTATGTTTTAGAACTGAGGTCAGAGAGACTGAAGGTGTTGTGTTGGACTGAATTTATTCAGGTGTATTTCAGATTTTCACCTTTCATGAAGCAGGGAGAGAAAAATATAACAAACATCAACATCTCATTTTAGTTTAGTCCAGTCCAACATCCCCTTTAATGACGACCTCAGTAATAAAGAGAAACATCAGCAGGAATAAACGTCACCACCCCCTCGCACTCGCTCCAGGTGAATTCTACTGATTATATCCTCTAATCCATGAAAATCAGCTCACAGACTTTTCAGAACCTGATAAAATTCTGGTTGTAAATGTTTTTATTATGAGTTATTAATCATAAATATTATATTCACTCAACAACTACATTTAGCTTTCTCTATTTGACAATATTTTACTCCTAACAAGCACTTCAGGTCTTTTGTTTTAGTGTTTCATATCTTGAAATCAGATGTTGATCTGGACTTGTCAGGTGAGTTTTGTCTCTAATAAGTAGAATGAGACGAGGAGACTCATCAGGTCTGACCTTCAGTCCATGCACAGAGGGGAAGAAGTCGTTGAGATATTATCGGGTGTTAAAAGTGATTTTTTTATGGTTTAATATAAACTAGATATCATTTAGATAGAATGTGTTTAATGCTGCACTCCTCAATGTTTATCATCCTTTAACAATAAGAAAATGTAACACTGAGAATTCAGCAGCACATTATTAACATCTCATTTAGTGTTAGTTTAGAATCATTGATGTTTAAAACAACAGAGATTCAGACTGAACATGAAATTAATCTCAGCCTCATTTCATCCTGTGACTGTTTGTATCATTTGTGTTTATTCAGCACAATCAGCTGATAGAATGACAACACAGATGTTCACTACAGCTCACTGGGACTTTGTTTATGTGTGATAGTTTATTTATTACCTGTCCCTGTTCATCATCTCTCCTATTAATGGTAATAAATCAAACAGAGTCACAGTTTAGATTTACATTTTTCTCTCAGGTGGAAACATTTACCTGATGGGTCAACGTGACTTCATCCTTTTTTTAAACTGCTTTGAGATCAAATACTCAGAGTTCAGTCAGAACACAGTATGTTTTAAATTATATTCACAATAAATCACTGAAAGGAAGAATCTCACCATCGATGTACACAGAGATGTTAGAGGAAGTCTGATGACAGAACTCATTCTGTGTGACCACACAGCTGTAGGTGTCGGTCTTGGTCACAGTGGTGTTGAGGATGATGTCGTAGCTGCCTTCTCTTTCTGTGACCTGTGGTTCTTCAGCATGAAGGATGTTTCCAGAACTGTCCCTCCACTCCACTTCAGGTCGAGGAGAAGCTCCATAAACTTCACACTGAAGCAGAACCTGGTCCTTTGTTGACTGTGAGGTGACAGATGGCTTTGGACATGCACCTGTGTACAAAGTATAAATAATAAATTATTCAGGTTATTTACAGCAGCAGAAACATAAAATGTGATTCTCTTGTTCAACACATATCTGATTAAATATGTTTATAAAAAGAGGAATAAACAGGGAAATAAAGTGAACTACATGTGTGAATAAAAGATCCCGTTATTTGTCCCAGCAGGCTATGACATGTTGAAGGACCCTGTAAACCACCTGACCTGAAGCCCGTTCATCAGAGCTGCTAGGTGTGGAGGACACGTGGTTATATCAACTAACAAAAATGATTTTATTATTATAAATTCAACTGAAACATATTTAATGAGTTATGATTCCTTTAGTTTTAACTGAAGTGTTGTGAGTCTTTACGTCACAAGTTTGTGTATCACTCAGAGTGTAGTTTCATATCACACTCAGATCAGACTGGACGTCACATTGGACACACAGAGAACAGCAGGTGTGTGTGTGTGTGTCTCTCTGTGTGTGTGTGTGTGTCTCTGTGTGTGAGTGTGTGTGTGTGTGGGTGTCTGTGTGTGTGTGTGTGTGCGTGTGTCTCTGTGTGTGTCTGTGTGTGTGTGTGTGTGTGTGTGTGTGTCTCTGCGTGTGTCTCTGTGTGTGAGTGTGTGTGTGTGTGGGTGTGTGTGTGTGTGTGTGTGTGTCTCTGTGTGTGAGTGTGTGTGTGTGTGGGTGTGTGTGTGTGTGTGTGTGTGTCTCTGTGTGTGTCTCTGTGTGTGAGTGTGTGTGGGTGTCTGTGTGTGTGTGTGTGTGTGTGTGTGTGTGTGTCTCTGTGTGTGTCTCTGTGTGTGAGTGTGTGTGGGTGTCTGTGTGTGTGTGTGTGTGCGTGTGTCTCTGTGTGTGTCTCTGTGTGTGAGTGTGTGTGGGTGTTGTGTGTGTGTGTGTGTGCGTGTGTCTCTGTGTGTGTCTCTGTGTGTGAGTGTGTGTGGGTGTCTGTGTGTGTGTGTGTGTGTGTGTGTCTCTGTGTGTCTCTGTGTGTGTCTCTGTGTGTGTGTGTGTGTGGGTGTCTGTGTGTGTGTGTGTGTGTGTGTGTCTCTGTGTGTGTCTCTGTGTGTGTCTCTGTGTGTGAGTGTGTGTGGGTGTCTGTGTGTGTGTGTGTGTGTGTGTCTCTGTGTGTGTCTCTGTGTGTGTCTCTGTGTGTGAGTGTGTGTGGGTGTCTGTGTGTGTGTGTGTGTGTGCGTGTGTCTCTGTGTGTGTGTCTCTGTGTGTGTGTGTGTGTCTCTCTGTGTGTTTGTGTGTGTGTGTGTGTGTGTCTGTGTGTGTGTGTGTGTGTGTGTCTGTGTGTCTCTGTGTGTGTGTGTCTCTGTGTGTTTCTGTGTGTGTGTGTGTGTGTGTGTCTCTGTGTGTGTGTGTGTGTGTGTCTGTGTGTCTGTGTGTGTGTCTCTGTGTGTGTGTGTGTGTGTGTGTGTGTGTGTGTGTGTCTGTCTGTGTGTGTGTGTCTCTGTGTGTGTGTGTCTCTGTGTGTGTCTGTGTGTGTGTGTGTGTTTCTGTGTGTGTCTCTGTGTGTGTGTGTGTGTCTCTGTGTGTGTCTGTGTGTGTGTGTGACACACGGTCAACTCAGAGTTTGTTTTCATCAGAGGAGGGGAGGTAGCAGAGAGAATCACTCCCATGATTCCCCGCCTCTTTGTTACTGTTCGAGCGCCCCCTGGTGGTGGAGTTTACACTCTGTGTTTAAGAAAGTCAAACTTCTTTCAGTCCTGAATACTTTCCTGTGATTTCATTTCCATTTTATCTTCTATTTCTACTTCAGATTGTAATTATTGTTATGCCTCTACATTAATAAAATGATTGATTACTGTAATCTTACATTTAAAGACACAGAATCAAAGAATACATTATAAACTTCTTAAACACATTTTACTGATGTTTCTATAAAGGGACCTTCTAACGCAGGTCTTCTACTTTTCTTTATTCTATTTCTTATTTCATTCAAACCAGTTCAAAGTGTTGAATGTAGAACAGAGGATAATTAGGTTTTCTCTGTGACACAGTTTCTGTTTTTAATCCAACATGTTCATCACTCTTAAAGGAAAGTTTAGTATTTTTAATATCTCATCATTTATATTTTAAAAACACATTCAGGGCTTAAAGTGAAAAACAAATCCTGATCCTGAATCTTTTCACTGCTCAGATTGACTTCTCTATAATACAGTGGTTCTCAACCCAAAGTCAACCTGTTTAGTATCTGGCACCATCAGCTGAGGGGGATGAAGGGGTCTCTTGGGGGGGGGGTCTACAGCGTGCAGTTTGTGTGTCACTCTTTTAGTTCTGTCTGTTTTCTCTTTGTGGAGTTTGCTCTTCTACTAGCTACAGTACGGTACTCGAGTTCTCAGCCTGCAGGGAAAGTGGTGAAGCACAGACCCCGAGCTCTCTGCCCGACTCCGCTGGTCACTCTTTAACTTCAATATAGGACTCTTTCAATCAAAACACTCCACACGGTTTATTTACAGAACCATAAACCACCGTTTTCTGTAAAGTCCTGATTATGACCTCATGAGGGAGTAAAGATGTGAAAAAGTCGCTCAGACGGACTGGTCTGTGTCGCTGTCTTTCCCAACACAGCGTGCAACCAGCTTTCAATACACACTGAACGGGGATGTGTTTTTAATGACGTCAGGTCGAGCGCAGTGTGTGATGGTGGCTGCTGCACACGCTGTAATGACGTGTTTCACTATTTTATACTGCTATGTTGGTCCCACCGGTGTATAAAGATGAAACAATAGGTATTAAAAGTGCGTCTATACACCAGATGTTACGGTAATCTCTGAGTCCTTTTTGTGTCTTTTTTAAACCCCTTTAGTGTTATCAGACAGATGTTCACACAGTGATGAATAATGTTAGAAACATCTGGAGAGTCGTCGTGGTTCTGCAGGAAGTTTTCATTGACATTCAAACAAAAAGGAAGATTCTCACCTTGGGTCGACTCCTCTGGTTCTGAAAACACAAAAAGGAAAAATGTTCTTTAAACAATCAAACATTCTAAATGTTCACGGGGCTGTTTGAGACTCAGATTACAGAATGTTTAAAGGTTCTAATAAAGAAAAGGAGCTCAACAATGTGAATCTTTGTAGAGCAGTCGTCATGGCAACATCACATTTGAGTTGGAGTTTAACTTTGACTAAAAACATTTTTTCTGACTCTCATCATGAAGAAGCACGGACACAGAGAAGACGTTTGGACAACTCTTCAAATCTTGACTCTACTTTAGTTGTGAAATCTTCTATCCAAACTAAAGTTCTCTAAATGTGTGGTTAAACATGAAACACTGGATATAAAGTGATGTGACATCAGAGCTCAGCTGTGTTGATGATTCAAACACTCAACAGTCCTTTTATTAAGTTCACCTGTATAATCTGAGACAGCTGATCCATCACTAAGTTTACTTTTATCACGCTGTCATCACCTTTTTATTACAGTTCTATGTTTTAGAACTGAGGTCAGAGAGACTGAAGGTGTTGTGTTGGACTGAATTTATTCAGGTGTATTTCAGATTTTCACCTTTCATGAAGCAGGGAGAGAAAAATATAACAAACATCAACATCTCATTTTAGTTTAGTCCAGTCCAACATCCCCTTTAATGACGACCTCAGTAATAAAGAGAAACATCAGCAGGAATAAACGTCACCACCCCCTCGCACTAGCTCCAGGTGAATTCTACTGATTATATCCTCTAATCCATGAAAATCAGCTCACAGACTTTTCAGAACCTGATAAAATTCTGGTTGTAAATGTTTTTATTATGAGTTATTAATCATAAATATTATATTCACTCAACAACTACATTTAGCTTTCTCTATTTGACAATATTTTACTCCTAACAAGCACTTCAGGTCTTTTGTTTTAGTGTTTCATATCTTGAAATCAGATGTTGATCTGGACTTGTCAGGTGAGTTTTGTCTCTAATAAGTAGAATGAGACGAGGAGACTCATCAGGTCTGACCTTCAGTCCATGCACAGAGGGGAAGAAGTCGTTGAGATATTATCGGGTGTTAAAAGTGATTTTTTTATGGTTTAATATAAACTAGATATCATTTAGATAGAATGTGTTTAATGCTGCACTCCTCAATGTTTATCATCCTTTAACAATAAGAAAATGTAACACTGAGAATTCAGCAGCACATTATTAACATCTCATTTAGTGTTAGTTTAGAATCATTGATGTTTAAAACAACAGAGATTCAGACTGAACATGAAATTAATCTCAGCCTCATTTCATCCTGTGACTGTTTGTATCATTTGTGTTTATTCAGCACAATCAGCTGATAGAATGACAACACAGATGTTCACTACAGCTCACTGGGACTTTGTTTATGTGTGATAGTTTATTTATTACCTGTCCCTGTTCATCATCTCTCCTATTAATGGTAATAAATCAAACAGAGTCACAGTTTAGATTTACATTTTTCTCTCGGGTGGAAACATTTACCTGATGGGTCAACGTGACTTCATCCTTTTTTAAAACTGCTTTGAGATAAAATACTCAGAGTTCAGTCAGAACACAGTATGTTTTAAATTATATTCACAATAAATCACTGAAAGGAAGAATCTCACCGTGGATGTTCACAGAGATGTTAGAGGAAATCTGATGACAGAACTCATTCTGTGTGACCACACAGCTGTAGTGGTCGTTCTTGGTCACATTGGTGTTGAGGATGATGTCGTAGCTGCCTCCTCTTTCTGTGACCTGTGGTTCTTCAGCATGAAGGATGTTTCCAGAACTGTCCCTCCACTCCACTTTAGGTCGAGGAGAAGCTCCTTTAACTTCACACTGAAGCAGAGACCAGTCCTTTGTTGACTTAAGTGAGGTGACAGATGGCTTTGGACATGCACCTGTGTACAAAGTATAAATAATAAATTATTCAGGTTATTTACAGCAGCAGAAACATAAAATGTGATTCTCTTGTTCAACACATATGTGATTAAATATGTTTATAAAAAGAGGAATAAACAGGGAAATAAAGTGAACTACATGTGTGAATAAAAGATCCCGTTATTTGTCCCAGCAGGCTATGACATGTTGAAGGACCCTGTAAACCACCTGACCTGAAGCCCGTTCATCAGAGCTGCTAGGTGTGGAGGACACGTGGTTATATCAACTAACAAAAATGATTTTATTATTATAAATTCAACTGAAACATATTTAATGAGTTATGATTCCTTTAGTTTTAACTGAAGTGTTGTGAGTCTTTACGTCACAAACTGAAGGATAATGTTCAATAAAGTGAATCATATATATCTTCAATATTTGTGATAGATATAAAATAGATAAATAAAATAGATGCATCATTTAACATGGCTTATAGTTTAAAGTCCTTTGTGGCCCCCGTACACTGGACAGATCTTCATCCATTAACTCGACCTGAGTCCATCTAAGGAGACTATCGGGCCCATCTGTAAATACACTTTATTACCATGTTGAGAAAACTATTATTGATCATTAAAGATATGTGAGTATTTATTCAGATACAGAGAAGATATTTTCAAAGTCAAACTGAACACTTGAGGAGATTGAATCTATATTAAAGATTTGATGAAATACATTTATAACTTTGGAGAAGTTTTAAAGAGCTCTGTGGACACCTGCTGGAGAAGCTCTGTACTGCACTTTGTAAAATATCTCAAAGTCAGTCTGTAAAGCTTGAAACACGAGGATGAATCAGTTTGTTTACATGCAGAAAACCTGAAAACAGTTACAGTAAAGTTTATTAATGGAGCATCAACATATTATATCAAAGAAACCTTTCATGCTTTCTCGTCTTTGTCCACCTAAATGCAGACTGACGTCTCTGAGTGTCTGAACCTCTAAACGATGTCATCTTGTCTTGTTGGTTATGCAGGTATATTTTTTCAGTTAAAGCTTTCCCCACTGTGTGTGTTCATTCATTTACTGTCCCTTTAAAAACAAAGTACCACTTGTTAGGTCACTGAACTCTGGGCCGTCTAATTTACGACATGGAGGAAACATCAGGAGCAAAGTTTTGGAAACAGGCAGCACCTGGCCAGCAAGGTGCTTAGAAATAAAAAAAGATGGTGAACCAAAGTAATCCAAGACACTATGGTGCGTTGGAATCGTCATTTTTTCTGAGGAAGGTTCCTAACTGAGTGAAATGAAGCATTTAAGTGTTTTTTAAGTGGTTTCCATGATAAGAGCCGTTTGAATTCTCTAAAATCTAAGGAAAGGTGGGTCAATGCTTCCTTTATAACCTCCTTTAGGATACACTGGACCATCCTTTAGGAAAGGAGATGAGATATGACGTCCCACAATTCCTTGCGGCCTCAACATTTAAAGCGAGTCGCCCATCCGACCGTTCAGGAACATTAACGATGATCGTAAAGAGATAAAAGATAAGAGACATTTTTATCAGATGATGTTTGATTCAACATATTTCATTCTCTTCAGAATGTTTTGTGCTGCTGTACATTTGTATGTTTAAAACATTATGTGTAGGTTATATCTTACATTAATGTAACAATTCATTTCATCCACTCATATTGATGTTGTTGTTGATTTCTGATTGGACAGGAAGCTGATGGTTTCACTTTTCTTACTTGTAGCCTGGTAGTCTATATTTCTTTTATTTCAATCCCAACCTCGTGGTGATCAGGATTATTTCACCGGTAAGAAGCACAGGGGAAAGTTTTTTACATCATCTTTTTGTAGTCCATTTTCTGAACATTGTAGTTTCAACACGGCAGACCCACGTCATCAACCTCCGCCGGCCCGTCGCATTTAATGACGTGGCCTAGTGGAAATGTGGTCGGATTGTCAGAGCAACGAGATCTCCTTTCCCTAAGTCCTTTATGACTTCTCCTGACATCTTTCCTTAACCTCATGACGTTTTCCCCGGGGTTAAGGTGAAGTGGATAGTGAAGGAGATAGGAGGGACAATTCAAACACACCCACTGATCCGGGAAAGCCGAATCTGTGAATATATTTATAACTTTATCGAAGTTCCTGCTCCCTGGTTTAGCTGCGCTACACGAAACGTCACAACGTCAACAAAGGTTTATCCTAATGTATCCTACAAAGCAGTTTACAACTCAACCCACCTGCAGCTCGGTGAGGAGGAGCTGTACGTTTGGATTAGTTTAAATGACTGTTCTCTTATGATTACGAAATGTGAACATTCTTACCGTTTGTGATCACTGCCAAGAAGCTCAGAATGATTAATACAGGGGAAAGGTCCATCTTTGTAAACTCTCCAATGATTAGCTCTCCTGTCCGTTAAAACGGGAAACAGGTGGACACTGAGAACTTGGTGGAGCAGAGTGCTGCTGGGGCTGCTCGCAGAGTGACCTCACCTCCGTTCAGGTGAAAACAGGGTGGAGCAGAGTGTGATAGGCTGCTGGGGCTGCTCGCAGAGTGACCTCACTTCCGTTCAGGTGAAAACAGGTCCTGAGAATGTTTCGGCGGTAGATTTGAAAACACTGGAAGCAGTGAGATTAAACGTGATTGTGAAGCTTTTTGTACTGCAAACTATTTTAAAAACACAATTTAGTATCGGGGTTTCATTTCCAAAGGACAAAGGAGGGTAAAAGAAGAGCTGTGTGTGTTTGGACTGAAACTAGAGAGGATTCTCGACAGAATTAAAGGAGGAAAGAAGAAAGGTGGTGGAGTCTGTGTTCAGTGATGCTTGGTGTCGAGATGCTGCTGTGGTATGGAAACACTGTTCACCGCTGGAGGAGTTTATGATCATTAAGTGCCGTCCTTTCTCTCAACCGAGACCCTGCTGGTCACTGTGTATATTCCCCCCACCACCAACAATGCTGATAGAATCGACGCACTTTGGGAACTTTACAACGCCATCAGTGAGCAACAGACAGCCCACCCAGACGGATTTTTCATCATCGCTGGGGATTTTAATCATGCAAATCTCAAGACGGTTTTACCCCACTTCCACCAACACGTGACCTTTCCCACAAGAGAAGGTAACATTCTGGACATGATTTACACATCAGTTAAAGGTGCTTACAAAGCTTCACCCCTCCCCCACATTGGTCACTCTGACCATATCAGTGTAATGCTAATGCCAGCTTACAGACCCAGGGTTAAAGTCACCAAACCAGTTCTGAAGCAGGTATGTGTGTGGCCAGAGGGGGCCTTGATGCACTACAAGACTGCTTTGATACCACAGACTGGGAGATGTTTAAGCATGCAGCCAGCTACAACAACCACACAGACATTAAGGAGTATTCTGACACTGTTACCTCCTACATTAGCAAATGCATTGCTGATGTTACCACCACCAGAACCATCACCACCCGGGCTAACCAGAAGCCATGGCTGACAGGAGAGGTACACGGGCTACTGAGGGCCAGGAACACCGCCTTCAGAGCTGGGGATGCAGCCTGCCTGAGAAAAGCGAGGGCCAACCTGTCCCATGGCATCAGGAAAGCCAAACGCAGCTACACACTAAAAATAACCGGACACTTAAAGGACAGCAGAGACGCGAGGAGCCTGTGGCGTGGTATCCAGACCATCACGGACTACAAACCCAAGCCACAGACCTGTGACAGCAACACCTCTCTGCTGAACGACCTCAACAACTTCTTTGCCAGGTTTGAAGCACACAACAGCACGCCCCCACAGAAGACCACCCCCCCTCCCCACGACCAGACTCTGTGCCTGAGTGCAGCCAGCGTGAAGAGAACCTTCTCCAAGATCAACACCCGCAAGGCTGCAGGTCCAGACAGCATTCCTGGCCGTGTGCTGAAGGACTGTGCAGAGGAGCTCAAAGATGTCTTCATGGACATTTTCAACGCTTCTCTGAGTCAGGCTGTTGTTCCGTCATGCTTCAAAGCCACCACCATCATACCCGTTCCAAAGAAGCCCTCACCATCCACTTTCAATGACTATCGACCCGTTGCACTGACCCCCATCGTCATGAAGTGCTTTGAAAGGTTAGTCATGGCCCACATCAAATCCACCCTCCCCGCCACCGTGGACCCCTACCAATTTGCATACCGAGGTAACAGATCCACAGAGGATGCCATCTGTTCTGCTCTTCACCCAGCCCTCACCCACCTGGACACCAAAAACTCATACGTCAGAATGCTGTTCATAGACTTCAGTTCAGCATTCAACACCATCATCCCTCAGCAGCTGATCTGCAAACTGGACCAGCTGGGGCTCAGCACTTCCCTGTGCAACTGGTTGCTGGACTTCCTCAGCGAGAGGCCTCAGACAGTGCGGGTCGGCGGAAACACATCAAAATGATCATGAGCACGGGGACCCCCCAGGGTTGTGTGCTCAGCCCCCTGCTCTTCACGCTGCTGACCCATGACTGCGCTCCATCCTTCAGCAGCAACCACATTGTGAAGTTCGCGGACGACACAACAGTGGTTGGTCTCATCTCCAACAACAATGAGACGCACTACAGGATGGAGGTCAGCCAACTGGCCACGTGGTGCAGAGACAACAACCTCTTCCTGAACATCGACAAGACCAAGGAGGTTGTTGTCGACTTCCAGAGAGTCCCCACTCCTAAACCCCCACTGACCATCGACGGTGCTGCTGTGGAGAGAGTGAGCAGCACCAAGTTCCTGGGGGTTCACATCAGTGAGGATCTCTCCTGGACAACCAACACCACATCACTGGCCAAGAAGTCCCAGCAGTGCCTCTACTTCCTCCGCAAGCTGAAGAGAGCACGAGCCCCCCCATCCATCATGTGCTCCTTCTACAGAGGCACCATCGAGAGCATCCTGACCAGCTGCATCACTGTGTGGCTTGGGAGCTGCACTGCTGCCAACCGCAAGACCCTGCAGCGCACAGTGAAGGCTGCTGAACGGATTATCGGTGTCCCACTCCCCTCTCTTCTGGACCTCTACGGTACCCGCCTCACCCGCAAAGCAACCAGCATTGTGCGTGACCCCAGCCACCCCTCACACAGCCTCTTCAGCCTCCTGCCATAGGGGAGACGGTACCGCAGCCTGCGGGCCGGCTCCACCAGACTGGGAAACAGCTTCTTCCACCAAGCTGTCATGAAGCTTAACTCTCTCCCCTCTGCCCCCACGAACACTGGACGTTGAAACTCCCTCCCGTTTGCCACCAAGAACTCTGGATTAATAACTCTGAAGCTAACATCTCAAAAGTACAATCAGTTTACTGCACATTGCACAAGTTTACTTTTTCTTTTATTTATTTTATTTACCATTTTGTACCTTTTGCACAATTTAGAATTTATTACTGTAAATATTATTTATCTTATTTTTACCTCATTTTATTTTATCTATTTTACCTTATTTTATTTTACCTTATTGGTTGTATTGCACGGAGACAAACGCAAACGCACAAACGTATTGGACGGAGACAAACGCAATTTCGATTCCACTGTAGGTCTGGCATATTTTGAAATTGACAATAAAGTTGACTTTGACTTTGATTAAAGTGGGAAATTGTGGGACCTCTGTCATGTTCCTGCTTTAAAGCAGAAGAGAAGTGTGTTAACAGATTCTTCACACATTCATTCACTAACGTATTAACAACGTTTCAACTGTCACATCATAAATATGTTGGTGAAAATGTCTCTAAACGAAGGAACACTACACCAAATCCTCTTCCTGAAAAATAAATGTCAAAATAAAAAGAATATAACACGTCGTCTCGCCCCACTCATCATTATTTACACTCAGGTGTGAATACAAAAGGTTTGAATATCATCCAGGTGACTTTGTGTTATTCTAAATCAGCTGATAACTCAGAGTTTATGTAAACGTCTGTAACCTCTCCATTACAGCTCTGAACACTGTTAGAAACTATTACAAATAAAGATTATTTAGAAATAAAGATCCCTCTCAGGTAACTCGGTTAATAATGACTCATCAGGTGTTTAAAGTCAGTTTCCTCTGATGACTCGTTTGAGCAGATTGAACAGACACTCACGCACATGGTTCATTTTATTTTTGCTGTTTGGGCCCTCAGGGGATCCGTACCTTTTTCATTTGAAAAAGGATATTTAAATACAAAAGTATTGTTTTTATGATGCGTTATTTTGAAATGTTATTTATCAGGGGAAGGTGTAATAGAATTGATCGTTCATACAAAGAAAAAGAAAAAGATGGCTGCACCAGATTTATTGAGTTATTAATTTGCTGATGTCGTGATGTAAAAGTGACGCAAGACAAACATTAAAACTCCGCTCAACAGAGGACCGTAAAGGAGCACACCTGACAACACCAAGTACATCAACTACGTAATAAAATGCTATAAACACTGTGGAAAACAATAAGAATATCCTGCTCTGTACACACTATTAAAAACGAAATCATGTAAAATATACAATAAATCTGTTTTTTAAATGATCAGTTTCATTTCAGGAGGCCTTACACAGTAAATACAAACACTGCACGATATTAGGGACAATATAATACACATTATAGCTCTGTGGATAAAATGTTTTCTGATTTATCCTTCATTATGTGGAGCATCATTTACAGACTGATGAGATCTTTGATGTCTACACTCAATCTGGATGAGACTAAAACAGATTTTGGTTTGCTATCTGAACGAGGCCTTAAAGTATGAACTCCACAGAAGAATGATTTGAGATCCAGTGACTGATTTCTACATCTACCAACAGTAGTTTGAACACAAACACACAAAGTCTCCTCTGATCGATCAGATATTATTCTGAGTCCAGCAGCTTCTTCACACTGTTTCACTGCTCTTACATCCGTCTCCAAATGAACTTTAAAAAGTTCCTCTGAAACCAGAAACATGTTTGGACCGATGACAGAAACTACCTGAGCTTCAGATATTATTATTGTGTTTTCTCTTGATGATGCATCATAGAGTGTTGAAGTGAAGGAGTCTGAAGATGTTGATATTTAACAGCCTCTGAGTGACTGAGTTGTAGCACACACACTGTGGATGTAGAAATCAGTGACATCATCACTCATCAGTCAGTGTGTTTTAGTGTTTCTCTTTGTTAAACAGAATCTAACCCACATGTTCAGTCAGGACAGGAACAAACAAACACAGTGACATGTAGTAATATTCTGAAGCGTGTAATAACTGTCCTGTCTTTATCTGTATTCTGGTCACAGCTGCATCTCCAAAGCCGTACATCGAAACACTCCATCAAACTCAGGACCGGGCGCTCCTGCAGTGTGAAGTTCGAGGTGCTTCTCCAGAACCTAAATTGAAGTGGCAGGACAGTTCTGGAGACCTCCTTCATGCTGAAGAGACACGGTCCATCACAGGAGGAAAATACGACCTCAATATTCAAACTAATGTGACCAAGAGGGGGGAGTATCACTGTGTGCTCAAACAGGAGGGAATCCACCATAACATATCTGCCAAGA